CTACACATCACATCCACATGAGCTTGTTGGACATCCCATTCCAAAACCATGGGGACTAACTTGGAGTTGGCCACCCCTTTGTGGCTATGACATCATATTCTGGGAAGGCGTTCCACAAGATTTTTTGAAGTGTGAGTGTTCAGTCAAAAATCATCTGTGAGGTCAGGCACTGGTGTTGGGCGAGAAGGCCTGACTCACAATCAGCATTCTAGTTCATCCCAAAGGTATTCAGTGGGGCTGAGGTCAGGGCTCTGTGCAGGCCACTGGAGTTTCTCCACACCAAGAAGTTTTGGTCAGGCCCTACTTTGTGCTACCGTGTTATGTTGTTTTCACTACAGTGCTTCAGAAACAATGGCGGAGTGGGTCATCGGGAGAGCTGAGAGAATTCAGTGAGTCGGGAGCCTTCTGGGCTTGTTACTGTGAGCTATACAAAGCACAGCAGCGGTCAGACAAACTATAAAACGTTGCATCCAGGTGTATCTCTGCAGTAATTTAGGGGTAAAACCAACCTCAAGTTTATACAGCCCTGTTCTGCTGATTGTATCTGAGTTTTAGATGAAGCTGAAGCTTCTTATTCTCACCTTAAATGGTGTAGCAGTTACATTCAGACGCCTGCAAGGGTGCTAGCATGTAACCGCTGCACCTTTTAAGGTGGAACAGAAATAATAAAAAGAATCTAACATCAACAGATTTGCGTATAAAATCAGCGCAACGTGAATCTGGTGCTGGCTGACACAACAGACAGTGCTCTACAGAGTTCACTATTGTTTTTTGTTTTGTTTTTTATGTTTTTTAATTATTATTATTTTTTGTTTGCATTATTGATGCAAATCTATGAATCATGTGAAGATGGACATCAGCAGCAAGAACCAAAAAAACAAAGTTGACGCTAAAAAGACAACAATAAAAAGCTACATAAGGAGGATGAGGACATATCTGAGTAGGTGGGAAGTGAGAAATGCCTAACTTACACAGCTAGCGTTAGTTTATAGCATATAGAGGACTGTCATTATTATTAGATTAGACTAGATTAGATTCAACTTCATTGTCATTGTACAGAGTTCAGGTACAGAGCCAATGAAATGCAGTTAGCATCTAACCAGGAGTGCAAAGTACAGTATTGTTTACATATACAGTGCAGAAGGACGGTATATAGTGGTTAAAAAAATTAGATATGCGAATAAAAAAATATAATATACATATATACAGAGTGAGTGGAGAGAGTAAAATGAGGTAGTGTGTTCTGTGGGAGGAGCATATGTAAAAGATGTCATATTTACGATGAAATTTTTGCCAGTTTTTATTTTATTACTCTCTAGCCAACTTGGTTATGTCAGTAAAAGTCAAAGTAAGAAATTATGAAGGTGAAAATGAGTAGATTTTATAAATAGTTGTTCTGTCCAAAGGCAATGCTCTCTGTGTGTGTGTGTGTGTGTGTGTGTGTGTGTGTGTTTGGAGTTAAGGGTGGCGTGGTCTGCATCACGTAGCCAGTTTAAAAACAAGACCCATCCCGGCCCTGTTTGGGAACCATTCTTTTCGCGGTGGAGCATAAGCCGTCTATAAATCACACACGCAGATTATAGTACTACAGTATCAATAAAGAACAGGGTCATCACTGTGATTATAAAGTACGCTTATCACAGAGAAGGGCAACAGACCAAGAGCAGCAATAAGCCACGCTGTAAAGCAGCTAATGTAAGCACTCGCTCCCTCTGCCTCTCTCTTCATATCATTTCCACCCTCGTACCATCAACGCAAGACCACACAGACCATCCTGTCCCACTTCTTAATTAGGACTCTCTTAACATACACATTACCCACCACCTTAATATGATCTGTAAGTTCAATCGCAGTTGTTAAAGCTCGCCGCCCTTTAAGCTGTAAAATAATGAAATTACCCGCAAAGGCGCTTAGCTAAACGGCCCGTAACTTTTATTTGGAAGGTAATGATTTTCTAATGTTTTTAATGTGCTTTTTATTATGTGGATAGGATTAGGCCAGGGAAAAGTTGCAGTGAAAAGCCAGTTAGATCTTACAAATACTGCTTTTTACTTTTTACAGCTTTTCTAGTTCAACAAGTTATTCTGACATACAGTATTTTACCATAATAATAACAGTAACAACCATTAATATAGACACAAATGTCTGTAAAACAAAAGCGATCATTTGTTTTTTGTTTATTTACTTTCCATTTCTGTAATTCAGTGTTGAAGTACGGTATATGTACAGTTTATTTACATACATTTAACCTTTTTTTTAAAAAAAACGAGTATTGACCATTAAAGTTTCCAGTCCTTTGACAGTTTGTGCTTGTATGTGTGCTTCTGTGTACACAGGCATGTGAGAGAGAGAGAGAGAGAGAGAGAGAGAGACAGCGAGAGAGAGAGAGATTAATCTGATACCTATGGTATCGGTGAATCAGTACTTTTGCTGCGAGCGAGACAACTTAATGACTATTGATCACAGTGCAGAGGTCAGGATATCAAAAAATTTTGGAAAAACGCAAATTTTCTCTGTCCGCCTCCAGAGTACGGAGAGCAAATATTTAATCAATCCGGCCCTCTGCCTCAGCCACCTTTATCTCCGTGAACAGGGCCGAGTGAAGTGATGTGAAGACGGCAGACTGATGGAAATCACAGGAAAACGTTTAAAGCACTGACAGCAGGACCATAATTAGCCAATACAATCTGCAGCCCAACTGCCTTCAACTCACACAGATAAACTTACTGTCACTTTAATACTCAGTCTCTGTTAGGACTCCTCTGACTGAAGCGGGCCTTAAAGTGATGTCTGCACTAAACTCTGCTTTAGATCATTCCCATTTAGTCTTAGCTGATGAGTCAGTACAGATTCTGAATTGAGCTTCTGAGGTTCAGTTTCTGAAGCTAATGTTTCTAACAGGCAGTGGAAGACAAGAGTGTCCAATCAGAACAACGCAAACTGCTGTCAAAATGAGTTATACACAGTCAGAAGATCAAGACTCTGTAGACAGACTGACCAGCTGTGTCAGATATTTCTCAGTGGATGTCGCAAAATTTTCTACAATTAAGTCATGAAAAAACTGAAATACTGATTGTTGATACAGAAACTCAGAGAAAAATGATTTATGAGAAACTTTAGCTTCGTATACCAAACCTGCAGTACGAAGCCTGGGTGTGATCTCAGACTCTGAGCTCTGTTTTGTCTGCATGTAAACACGGTCACTAAAGCAGCTTATCATTTGAGAAACATCACTAAAGAGCTGCCTTTTCTCTCTCAGAGCGACGCAGAGAAACTTGTTCATGCATTTGTTACAGCAGAGTTGATCACTGTAATGATCTTCTTACTGGACACCTTAAGAAAACTATACATCCTTTACAACTCGTACAAAACGCAGCAGCATCCAAACAAAAACACAGAGAGATCAGATCAGTCCTGCTTTAAAAGAGCTGCTCTGGCTGCCTGAATCAATCAGGATAGACTTTAAAGCTCTGCTCTAGTCTTTAAGACTCTAAATGACCTTAAAGCACCGCTTACATCACAAAGTGTCTGTCTGTTTATGTTCCAGCATGGAACCCAAGATCTGCAGCTACTGACCTTCTACAAACACCCTCAGTAAAATACAGAAAACATGGAGAGACTCTTTCAGTTATTCTGCTTCTAAACTGTGGAGCTCAGTTCACCTTTTATTAGACAGTCAAGCTCAGAGCTCACTTTTAAGAAGCATCTAAAAACGGATCTCTTTAAATTAGCATTTAATTAAAACTGAATGTCTCGTGGTTTTTATCTTCTAATTTGATCTGTTTCATTTTCTTTTGATTCTAAATAAATACTCATGATTTCTTGTATGTTTTATCACCTGTCTGTAAAGCGCTATGAGCTGCCACTGGCATAAAAAGTGCTATATAAATAAAAATTATTATTATTATTATTATTATTATTATTATATGCAAAAGGTTTAACCATCCCTGGTAACACCCTAGAGATGTAAATATGTCACTTTTCTGCAAATTTTCATACACAATTTTTAATTTAATATACTGAAAAAAGAAACAAAATATAAAATGTGCCAAAAGTATGCATAGACCACAATTTATGTTTTATATATTTCCAATACATTAAATTCAACTCATGGAACTGGCTTGTAACTCACTCACATTCTCACTTACTCATTCACATTCAGCAGGCTGAAGATTTGCCACAAAGGGGAGCCATTAGCACTCAAATTATAGTAACAGTGATAATAACAGTGCTTTGCATCAGTAGCTACGTCTCCATTAACGTATTTTGCCATATTGAATAAATAAACTGGATGGAAACAGCAAATACTGAGTAAAATCGGCAAACTTCACATAACAGTTTATATGCTGACTTGAGGATGCATATTGTGTGATGATTGTGTGATGATAGCTGCCGAATAAATACTGAAATTTTCTGAGCAGTTATGTTTGCCACTGCATTCTACCTCCACGCTCTTACAAAGAAAAATAGCCTAAACCCACAAAATGAAACAAAACTGCAAAGAGAAACTGAGAAACATTAAAGTGAACTCACTCCAGATGTTTTCACAGATGTGACATGGATAGCTTGTTGTCTGGTACAGAGCTGACGGAAATGCAGCCTTATCTGTGTCATTTTTTGCAACATTTAAATTATTTATCTGAATTTAATTCCACAGCTGGATGGAAACCTGGCTAATCAAACGTTGTGTCCTCGTTTTAGATATTTCAAGCTTGATTTGTTGATTGTGGTTCATTTTTCATTGTTAATATTTACATTTACTCAATGTAAACTGTATTTGCGTCCACACCTAGAGCGTTACTGTATAAGGAAAGTACCCGGCTCTTCTCCTTTAAGAATGTCCCGGTCCTTAAAGGGTTCATCAGTATAAATTAAACACATTATGTAAAGCTGTGATGAAAAAAAATCAAAGAGCTCAAAATTCCACAAAGTCTGGACGGCTGTCAGGCAAGCTGAAACTACAGAAAGGCAGGTTAGGAAGTAAATGACTTTTAACTCACCACCGTCGGTAGTGGTGCATGTCACCTCTGGGCTGGTGATACTGTGAGCTCCATTAGACACGGTCAGAGAGAGTGTGTACTCAGTGCTGGGCTGCAGGTCAGAGATCACGATGGAGGTCACTGAAGGGTCAAGACGGAGCGTCTGGCTTTCCTGGGTGGAATTGACTGTGAGAAAATAGAGCTCTGCCTTCCCCTGTAGGTCCTGCAGAGCTGAGGACGGAGGGATGGTTAGGAGAGAGAGAAACATAAAATGAGAACAATTCTAATAGATTCTACAAAGAATCAACCACAAAAGTCTGAACTGGGGACTAACTAAAGTAAAGACTGTGCTTAGTCTTAAGCATTACATTAAACCAAATACTCTTATACTCTTATATGCAAATACTCGTGCTCCGCCCAAAAGTGCATAGCAACCGCTGTGAGTACAGAACGTCAGTAGTTCAGTCTAATGAATCTTGGTTGGAGTTTTGAGTCACTTTTTTTTTGTTTGTTTTGTTGGGTGTTTTGTTTGGTAAGGTCAATTTACAGACTGCATAAATGAGACCACCCTTTCATTTATTTAATTTCCAGTTAAAACATTCATTAAGTTCATTTATCAGCATCAGGAACAGAAAACATGCACTCTGATCAGACATAACATTCTGACCACCTCCTCGTTTCTACACTCATTGTCCATTTTATCAGCTCCACTTACTGTATAGGTGCACTTTGTAGTTCTACAGTTACAGACTGTAGTCCATCTGTTTCTCTGATACTTTGTTAGCCCACTTTTACCCTGTTCTTCAGTGGTCAGGACCCCCATGGACCCTCACAGAGCAGGTACTATTTGGGTGGTGGATCATTCTCAGCACTGCAGTAACACTGACGTGGTGGTGGTGTGTTAGTGTGTGTTGTGCTGGTATGAGTGGATCAGACACAGCAGTGCTGCTGGAGTTTTTAAACACTGTGTCCACTCTCTGTCCACTCTATTAGACACTCCTACCTTGTCAGTCCACCTTGTAGATGTAAAGTCAGAGACGATAGCTCATCTGCTGCTGCACAGTTTGTGTTGGTCATCCTCTAGTCCTTCATCAGTGGTCACAGGACGCTGCCCACAGGACGCTGTTGGCTGGATATTTTTGGTTGGTGGACTATTCTCAGTCCAGCAGTGACACTGAGGTGTTTAAAAACTCCAGCAGCACTGCTGTGTCTGATCCACTCAGACCAGCACAACACACACTAACACACCACCACCATGTCAGTGTTACTGCAGTGCTGAGAATGATCCACCACCCAAATAGTACCTGCTCTGTGAGGGTCCATGAGGGTCCTGACCACTGAAGAACAGGGTAAACGGGGGCTAACAAAGTATCAGAGAAACAGATGGACTACAGTCTGTAACTGTAGAACTACAAAGTGCACCTATACAGTAAGTGGAGCGTAGAAACAAGGAGGTGGTCATAATGTTATGCCTGATCGGGGTATTTAAAAGAAAATTACACAGAAGCTTCAAAAACCGAATACAATATAATTTAATCAGTATTTAGAGTCTCTACACTTTGCTTTTATTACATCTTCCTTTTTATATCATTCAGAGCTCCAGTTTTGGAAGCTTTTCTCACTTATTATACTTTGTCCTCTTCCTTGTGCAAGTGGATTATTTTATATCTAATCTCCACAGGAGTGTCTCATGAAAAGTGAATATTTGGTGTTTACTGGCTGTTTTGAAATTAAATAAATGAAGGGTTGTGTCTGACTCTCTGACTTCGCCATAATTCTGTACTGTATTAATAAAGAAGTCCAAATACAAAAGCCTAACTGATTTTGGAGCCTTACTGGGTGTGGTCCAGTTTACAAGAATAGCAGTGTGGTTGAGGACGAGGGCAGACACATTAGCAGGAGTGTGGGGTGGTCCGGCTAGAGTGACCCCGAAGGCTGGTTCTCCTGAAGCATAGCCCACATCATTGTGCACCAACAGCTGGTATTCATACCACGTGTACCTGAAAAAGTAGTCAAATATAGAATGTGAAGCAACAATAAGGACATTAGGACACACTACAATTCTTAATATAGAGATACTCCATGTTACTACAGGGGAGTTCAGAGCTCAGACTAGAGTTTAATGTTGTTTTGTCTTGTCATGCCACATTCTCTAGCACAGCACTGGACCCCTATGGTCTCATCAGACAGACAGAAGTAAAATTTTATACAGGTTTATGTTTACGTTCATCAATGTTCTCGTACTGCAATACACAATAGGCATTACACAAAGACAGAATACAACCACTGGGAATCCCTGTGGTGTCAACCAATCCTGACTGACAGCCTAGTCACTGATCCATAATCTAATACATGTATCCAGACTAGCATTAGTGTAACTCTTTCATCATTTGCTGAACAGAATCATAAAGAGATTCTGGCTTTATTCAGTGCAAAAGGAAAACATGTTCAGCCAGAGAAAAGAAACCAAACTGAGGTAAGATATCTAGAAAGCCAGCTACCCTGGCAACCGTAGTTATTAGCTTATTGTATTGCTTATATGAGGACATATTTCTGTTGTTTGACAAACCCATTCTAATGATTTAAAAAAAAGAAACGTAATCTCACCTGGCGAAATATATGCAGTAACATCTTCTCTATGACCAGAGATTCAAAGCTCCAGCTAATTCAGTATAAAACCCTTCACAGAACATATATTACAGCCTCTAAACTACACCGTATGGGATTCAGCCTCAGTGATAAACGCCAACATTGTCCAGCTTTAACAGACCGTTATTATCATGCTTTCTGGATTTGTCCCCCAACCCAGCAGTTTTGGTCAGAGGTCATGGACAGGCTATCAGAGATTTTGGGCCTTGTCATCCCTTTACATCCCATTGTAGCGCTACTTAATGACCTGTCCTCACTTTCAGCACCCAATCACCTCAAATCCTTTATACTATCATCACTTACCATTGCCAAAAAAGTTATGTTGCTAAACTGGAAGAACAGAACCAAGAAGCATCGGCTTAACCTTCTTACAGATCAATGCAACTTGGAAAGACTCGCAGCAAATCTTAAAAATAGTACAAAACCATTCAAGGAAACCGGGTCTCAATTTTTACAGTATATTGAGAGCTGATTTCTGTCTCCAAACTCACCAAGTAAGGTTAAACCCCATACACAGAATTTGGTGTTGCTGCTTGGAGGGGGGTTGGGTGGTTGTGGTACCACATCACCTTATATTTGTATGATTATTAATAAACGATGAGTTGTGACTTTAATAGTGAAACGAAAAGAAAAATTTTATGTCCACTGAAAAGGGGAGTGGTGTGGCCAAGGAATACCGGCCTGGGAGTTATACATCTGAAATGCAGCTCCATTATCCGTCTGCCTTCCCTCTGCAGCTGACAGAAAAAACGAAAAATTTCCTCCCACCTTCAATATACATCATTATAAGGGGTTTTCCTGGACTACAAACCTGAAAATCTGAAAATCTCATTTAAGAGAGCGCCGCGGTACCACTGTAGGATGAGTAGGCACATTTACAGATGATAAAAGTTTTTGTTTTTAATTCCAGTTTCCAACTAGAAACTGTCCAAATGCAGTTTACAGGATCTGCTTTGAAAGCAAAACAGTCAATCAAGATTAAAAGTCTTGGAACAAACAATCAATTTTCATAAACAATGTAAATCATACTGAATAAAGGAACGATACAAATCAAAAAAGACACATAATGAACAGCAGCTGGAGAGGAAAAGATACAATAATGTTTTTTGCATGAAACAAATTGGCTTCTACTCGTTTTCACTTCAGGAGATAATCCTGCAGAAACACGGGAACAAACTTTTAGTGTTTAGTCCCAAACAGCAGAAGCTGATGTAAAGAGGAGGTGGACACACTGGGGTCTTTGAGTGAGTAACACACACACACACACACACACACACACACACACACACACACACACACTCACACAAACACACACTCACACAAACACACACTCACACAAACACGCACACGTGAGGAGTGCCAGCAAAAGATTAGAGGAAAAACGATTTAATTCTTTGGGATATTTGCTTAATGTATCTTTGAGCAGTATTAAAAAGATGGCATCGGTGCGCGAAACCAGTTTTGTACACACCGGCAACGTTTGCATTAAAGCTAATTTTGGTAATCTCACCTGCTAAGGCCTTTATCTTCGTGGAACAATTTGTCTCCTGCGTAAACACGGTACCAGCGATTGAAATCTTCGGGGGGACGGGAGGCCAGGGGCTGCTGGGTTTTCCGTCTCAGCAGCTCGTACCTGAGGGCAGCGGAAACGGCCCGATAAATCTCAGCTCCACTCACACAATCCTCCTGCTGTTCCAGCCGTGCCGCTTTTCAGCTGGGCTTGTGTTTTTCTCGTTCTCTCTCAACAGTAATGGTAATTCTGCCCGTAATCACAAGAGCTAGGCTTAATGTGCTCTTCATAAGCCTAGTTCAACAAACAAGGCAGCGGCGGGAAAAGGGAGTCATGAATATTAATTGTCAGACACGAACGCAGAGCTTTATTTACCTCCTAATCAGCTCAAAAACAGACCAACACAGTGAAAAATTGTTAGGATGCATTGCAGCCAAGGATTGCTATCCAGCAGATGATTTACAAATCATATAGAAGTTATGTTACTGGCGCAGGCCCAAGGGATTACACAAAGTTTGGGGAATGTTCGTACCACAGTGATTGTTTACGGTCACTCTTTACCATCTTTGAAAAGCAGGGCAAACAGTTTCTATAAAGTAGGGGTGCCCAAACATTTGTTGGAGCCAAAGTATTTGTCGTGGGCCAAAAAGGCAAAACGGCTAGCTGGCAACTCGCCTGACGTTCTCATGTGTTGCCGGTACACCTGGAGAAACTGTATTCTTTACATAGTTGAATGATTTCTTGCCTTTAACAGTGGTGGTCTCTACATCTCTTTTCCATGTACCACTGCTCGCTATGCTCTATTAGGTCGTAGCTGCTGGCTGCTAAAAGTACTAATATTTAATAAGAGAAAATAAGAGGCTTAAAAACAAATACATGTTCTCTCATTGGCTGAGGGAAGGGGGGCCAACCCTGCAGTGGGCCAAATCAAATATCTTTGCAGGCCAGCCAGTTTGGGCAGCCCTGCTACAAAGTAAGCTAGGACTCATGATGCAGAACTGAATTTCTCACACTTGTTTGAAAAGATTTTAATGTAGTGTGTGAACAATGTTAGTACTTCAAAACAATGTTTACTTCTCAGTCCATATACACCAATCAGGCATAACATTATGACCACCTCCTTGTTTCTACACTCATTGTCCATTTTATCAGCTCCACTTACTATATAGGTGCACTTTGTACTTCTACAGTTACAGTAGTCAGCAGTTCAGTGGTCAGGACCCCCATGGACCCTCACAGAGCAGGTGCTATTTGGGTGGTGGATCATTCTCAGCACTGCAGTAACACTGATGTGGTGGTGGTGTGTTAGTGTGTGTTGCGCTGGTCTGAGTGGATCAGACACAGCAGTGCTGCTGGAGTTTTTAAACACCTCAGTGTCACTGCTGGACTGAGAATAGTCCACCAACCAAAAATATCCAGACAACAGCGTCCTGTGGGCAGCATCCTGTGACCACTGATGAAGGGCTAGAGGATGACCAACACAAACTGTGCAGCAGCAGATGAGCTATCGTCTCTGACTTTACATCTACAAGGTGGACTGACAAGGTAATAGAGTGGACAGTAAGTGGACACAGTGTTTAAAAACTCCAGCAGCACTGCTGTGTCTGATCCACTCGTACCAGCACAACACACACTAACACACCACCACCACGTCAGTGTCACTGCAGTGCTGAGAATGATCCACCACCCAAATAGTACCTGCTCTGTGAGGGTCCATGGGGGTCCTGACCACTGAAGAACAGGGTAAAAGGGGGCTAACAAAGTATCAGAGAAACAGATGGACTACAGTCTGTAACTGTAGAACTACAAAGTGCACCTATATAGTAAGTGGAGCTGATAAAATGGACAATGAGCATAGAAACAAGGAGGCGGTCATAATGTTATGCCTGATTGGTGTATGCTGCCAAAAGCAGCCTGTCTGGAAATCACCATGGTTGTGATGTCACAATCATTAACACATTTTTTCAAAACCACAATTTTAGTTTCAGCAATTTAGCCTCCCCTTTCGCTCTGAAGTGATAAGGAGTGCACGTTTCAGCCCAGACTGACTTTTGAACAAGGCCCAGTAGAGGGCAGCCAGTCAGAACAAAGGTCATTTATATACAGCAATCTCATACAAAATAGCTTGTTTCATTCTAAAGGATAAATAGAGGCTGAAAACTTCTCATGTAAATGTTATAAGAGGGAAAAACTCAGGATGTTTAAAAATAAAAACTAGCAAATTATAAACTATGCATATTAAATGTTATTATACCAAATTATCACATGTTTTTAATTATTATGTCATGACTGACTACACTGAGTATAAATTTGACAATTTTATGCCTGTATGAGATTGCCTGTAATTACCTTATGTTGGGCCCGTTTGGCCTGGACGGCGGCCGCCATGACACAGCCAGGAAAGACTCACTGATGGCGACCACCGAGAGAGATGCTAGCCCCTGTGGAATTGTGGGTAATGTAGTGACAGATGTGGGCAGGCTCTCAGTGCACCCTCCAACATAGCCCCCACCACCTGAACAGGCCAGGATGGTTATGCTGTAGTTGGTATATGGCACCAGGCTGGTGACGGTGCGGTTGAGTGCGACGATGTCTGTGTGAGGGATGCGGGGGTCCGGCATGCGGATCTCATAGCGCTCAATCTCTCCGTTGGGTATCAGTGGAGCTGACCATGTTACCTATAGGAGAACACATATAAGCACACACATCACACAGAGCAGACAAGTGCACTTTGTAAAATGACAACTCTGCCATCAGTACTAGAACTACGATTATTCTGGTTGCACTGATATCAATATGGTATCAGTATCAGGGGTGATGCTGGCACGTAAATGCAGTATCATTATCAGCAATAAGGATATCGATACAACAAAGCAACTACTGAGTGACCCGTGCATGTGAACCAGTAGATGGAACATGTCGGCAGTGTAAGTTGACAAGCAGCAGTGAAAATGCTCATGGCAAAGTCTGTAACACCAGTATTTTAATTGGAAGGCAATGGTAGTGGCTGACATACCACTTGGAATTCTTCCTAAGGTGTTAATTTCACTGGTACCCCACAGATAACAGCGAACACACAGGACAAAACATGTCAACAGAAGCCCTTTACTAAATACGTTACTAAATAAGCTCCAACTGGTCCAGAATGCAGCTGCTAGAGTCTTACAAGGACCAAAAAGTTTGACCATATGTCTCCAATCCTGTCGTCATTACACTGGCTACCTGTTAAATTTGGTGTAGAGTAAAAGATCCTTCTCTTAAATCATTAAATGGCCCCGCAGTATCTTAGTGGATTAATTCAGTCATATGAACCCACACATACGCTCTGCCCACAGACTAACGGCCTGCTCACGGTTCCTAGAATTCGAAAAACCACAGCAGGTGGTCGAGCATTTTCCTACGTAGCCCCAAAATTGTGGAATCATCTCCCGACCTCTGTTTGGGACTCAGAGACACCCTCTACATTTAAAACTAGACTCAAAACTGATCTGTATGCACGAGCATTTTACTGATATCAGCTGTTTGCACTATTACTCTCTAATATCTCTCCATAAACGGACCTGTCCTGTTAATCAATCTCTCTCTCTCTCTCTCTTTTATTTGAGCCCCTGAGCGACGTCTGCCTGAGTCGCCACATGGGAGCCACAAGAGCTGCTAGAGTCACCAGAGCTCCATTTCCATTGGCTGATCTGCACCGTTTTGACCACCATGGAGCTTCACGCTGTACAAAGCTGTGCAAACCTCACCTTCATGAACTGACCCTCCTGACGCTGCAGCATAAACTCAAACTATCTAATTAACCATTGCTCCGCCTGTTTTTCCCGTTTTGTATTCTAATATTTTACACTAGCGCTGTTTGCTGTCCGGTGTGGTCCAGAGGAGGATGGGTTCCCCTTTGAGTCTTGGTTCCTCTCAAGGTTTCTCCCTTTTGCTCTTAGGGAGTTTTTCTTTGCCACTGTCGCCACTGGCGACGCTCATGGGGGCTCAGACCCGGATTTTTCTGTAAAGCTGCTTTGTGACGACACCTGCTGTAAAAAGCGCTACATAAATAAACTTTGACTTGACTATGACTTTCCTTGAATGGCTGAGCCAGGCTTCTTTCAGTAATCACTGTGTGTGTAGCCACTTACACGCTGAGTTAATGTGACAAACATTAAAGAGACATATAAAGGAACCACCTGTCTCTTGGGGTAAGGACAGCATTTTGCCTTGGTTTAGCCTTTAGCATAGCAGCCTGCTTCAATGTCTGTTTGGGTATTGGAAACGAAAAAGTGGTACCGCGCCATCTCTAGATGCCAATAATTTCACGATAATTTGATTGATTATTCATTATTGATTGATTATTGATTATAATTTTATTGATTATTCAGCTATGAATTATTAAATATGACGGTCAGTTCTCAACTATCAAAATACTAAAACGGAAACAGCAGAAACTCTCAAAGACGAATTAGCTCTAATTTTCTTTTTTTAGAATCAGCTTTCTTCAAACAAAGCTTTCATGTTATTACATGTTATGCTCATGCTAAGGGTTAGCTTTGGGTACATTTAACAAGTTTTTGTTACTTAATTTTTTGTAGTTTTGTGTTTGTTTAATAGTTTGACATAATAAATGCCAGACATCATGTCAAATCATCTTGATTGATTCATCTCATATTAGAGTTAGCTGTTAATACTGATATAAACCAGGCTCCCAATAAATATCTGGGGATATTTTTGTCCATACCATTAAAACCAAGTAACGTTTATATCAGTAATGTCAACTGACATATCAGTCAGGCCATAATCAATATTTTAAATAGCACTTAAGATATAATAAATGTATTACAATAAATCTATTGTAAGGGTAAAACAAAGTAGTGTAGTGAAACAGCACACACACACACACACACATGTATTAGTCATAACATGCTATAAACATTTAATAACAGTGTATCAACACTATTTATTGTTTAATACTCTAAGGCTAACTGATCAGTGCCCTATACTGAGAGCTCTTTACCTCGTTTAGCCGCTGAGCAGGGCCTGATTCCAGCCCTCTATCTGAGCGCATCAGTGCAGGCTTTTAGATCAATGAGCTCCTGGAAATGACGGCGTGTGCGATTGAGTGAAGACACCCTGACTTTGACCCAGGAACCGAATATTCCTTTCATTACATTTAAAACAGGGCTAAACCGGCGCTGCGTGATAATGAAATCCTAATGGAATTGCATGGAAAGCGATGCATGCGCCGTGCTTTCTCAAAGGCGAGGAAGTACGTCAGCATTTTGGGGAAGCAGTAAATGTATTGAACATGCCTGATCAAGGGAGAAGAAGTGAAGGGTGTGCTGGATTGATGACACACTAGAATGAGAAACTATAACCCAGATTTATCCACATTTGCTAATGCTATATGTTCTCTGGACAAGCAGTTACTGGCTTTCATATCAGCTAAAGTTTGTCCCCACACCGCTGCAGTAACAGCCTCTACTCTTCTAGGAAGGCTTTACTCTAGATGTTGGAACACTGCTGTGAAGATTTGATTGTCTTCAGTCTAAAGAGCATTAGTGAGATCAAGTACTGATGTTTAATGATCAGCTCTGGATCACAAACTCCACTCCAGCTCATCCCAAAGGTGGAGCTCCATCACTCCAGAGAACGCAGGTCTCAGCGATAGCCCAAGAGTGGAGAGCTTCATACCCCTTTAGTCGACGTTTGGAATTTTGTATGGTGAAATCAGGGTTATGTTCGGCTGCTCCAGTGCATTTCCGCTTTAATTAGCACTGCTTTTCTATGGAGATTATACACTGATCAGGCATAACATTATGACCATTATCCGTGTTTCTACGCTCATTGTCCATTTTATCAGCTCCACTTACTATATAGGTGCACTTTGTAGTTCTACAGTTACAGACTGTAGTCCATCTGTTTCTCTGATACTTTGTTAGCCCCCTTTTACTGAGGTGACACTGAGGCGTTTAAAAACTCCAGCAGCACTGCTGTGTCTGATCCACTCAGACCAGCACAACACACACTAACACACCACCACCACGTCAGTGTTACTGCAGTGCTGAGAATGATCCACCACCCAAATAGTACCTGCACTGTGAGGGTCCATGGGGGTCCTGACCACTGAAGAACAGGGTAAAAGGGGGCTAACAAAGTATCAGAGAAACAGATGGACTACAGTCTGTAACTGTAGAACTACAAAGTGCACCTATATAGTAAGTGGAGCTGATAAAAGGGACAATGAGCGTACTGTACGAGGAAACGTTGTGGTTGCATCTTCTGGTTCAAAATGCACTTTATGTAATGTAACTGGCTCATTTGGTGTGGGAATTCAGGTGGACACATTTTTAAAAAATCCATTTCTTTCATCCCAAAACTAAACAATCTACTATGTCCATTAACATCTCTTATTATCGTATATGCAGAAAGGAGAGTTTAATTACAAACAAATTTTTTCAGTCACTGGTGTTGTATGAATGTGGTGTAACACCAGTGACGGTGACTCCAGTGACATTCTGGTTAAATCTGAGGATTCTGTAAATTGGCTGACTCATTGGTCGTCAGGTGACCTTATGAACTATTTAAAATCAGTAATAAAAACGATATTTGGCATTATTGTTTTGACAAGATTTTAATTACCCAGCCATTAAAGCACAAAACATCGGTGACACATAGAGGTCAAGAGCTGCCCGATAAACAACATTATTAATAAATTAATGACATATTGGGAGGGAGTGTGGACTCTCTGATGAGCCTCGACCCAAAGAAACAGTTTATAATAGAGTTAAAATTACTAAGTTAAAATGTAAAATAAAAGTCCTGATCACACCAGTGACAAAAATCTCTATGACAAATGAATTTTTAAAATAAAATACATATTTTTAAATGTAGTATAACATTAATGATATAAAAAGTAAACATGAATCTGTTTTATACAAACTCCGAGGTTAAACCTCTTAAACATATTGTTTTACATTAAAAATGGTTTCTCAAATGTTGAAAACTGGCTTTGTGATGAGCTGTTTTACAGATGCAGAGCAACTATGAAAAAAAGAAAAATCAGGGAAAAGTGTTATGTGATGTTAGGTCAGCTGTGTAAATGTACATAATGACTTTTAAAGCTGTGCCTGATATTTTAAGCATCTTTTTCAGTCCTGCAACACAGTTTCCCCTCCAAATGGAGAATGATCCAACTGCTCTAATGGAAAAATAAGAAGGGAAAAAATGGAAATATACAGCTATGCCAGTGATGTGCCTGCTATTGTGGTCAGCATGCTACCATCACAGTATTGTGGGTACTCATGGTACCCAGTGTCTTGTAAATTTTAGTGTTTCCTCTTCTCCCAACACTCCTGATCCAACTAATCAGCTAATTACAAGCCCTTGAGTGAAAGGTACACGTTAACATATGCAGGGCAGGTTGAAATCTTGTGCTTTAAACAACCAAGAAAAACTGAAATCTGAACCAAAAGTTTTAAGATGATCATGCAAAACACGAAGAAATCCTCAGTGCACTGCGAACAAAGCGCAAGTACTTCTCAAATTGGTCATTTAAGATCAAATAAACCATGCCGAGGAACGATGCTGGGACCCTGCAACTAATGACATAATCAGGATTATTAAATAAACAGGAGAGCATAAAGGCTATGAAGATGCCAAACAAATCGACAGGAACAAATACACTCCAGCA